TTTGTTTCTGAAGGGATTGCGCCCCCAATCTACATAAATGCGTCTATGTTCGCACAAATCATTCATGATCCAGCCTCATCTACAGAAGAAGTGAGTATAATGTTTTGTAATGAATCTTTGCAAATTGCCTTTCCTAATAATGTGCTAATTAGCAAGTTTCACGATGAATGTGGCTAAAGTAAACAGTCTCTCTGAGAGCAGCTTGGAAGAGAGGGGCGGGGTCAGCAGAGCTCATTAACATTTCAAGGAAAATGCTACAAAAACGGCTTGATCTGAAAAGAGCTGTTTTTGACAGGGTAAAAAATTTGTTTTTTACATTACCATTGAGAAATTTTAACCAAACTATGTTACAGACTTTTCATTAAAACCCTAAAGAATCATATCAACTTGTGGAAAATGGGCATCCTATGACCCCTTTAACTACAATGTTAGATTTCCAAAAATGTCTTCTGATGGCCAGATGTATATGTATATGGCAAACAGCAGCCCTCTGTTGTACCTTTTTTATTAGGAAAAAAATCCCCAAAAACTAAACAATCACTTGTGATTGCCATTTACAACTTTTGTAATGCATATAAATATTATATAAATATATAATTCTAAATAGTAATAATGCCAAAATGTGGTAATTTGTTTGTCTAGTTTGAAACAATTATGCTGATTACAACAAGCTGAATAACGATTTGTGAATACAGTGCATTGTATACATGTATATTTGTATACAATTTTATACTACTGTAATAAGTAAAAAGTTAAGGTGCGATACCAAAAAAAAAAAGACCACTTGGAGACACTAAGAGACCACTTTATCTTTAAGACAGGCCTCTTCAACTCCAAACAACAGCAATCACAACGAACATAAATTTAGGCTACAGTGTTACATTTTTTTCCCAATTGTTTCCACACTAAAACTGGAACTTGAAACACAGTCACCAAAACCTGAAACTCATTTACCAAATCCATAAAACCAAGTCTGCAATACAGCAAGCACAGTTCCTGCTTTACACTTTTTGCAAAACACTACACACAGTTCTCTACATTAGGCACAACATATAAATTATCTTTAGTAACTTTAGATAGCAATGCCAATCACAGTGTCAAGCTCTTAGAAACAACAATTGGAAACACCCAGTCCTCAGAGATGTAAACAGTAGTTCACTTAGAAATCAAAGCTTTAGCACTATAATAGGACAAAGATGAAGCTTCCCAATTTTATAGGAAAATGGAAATCAATGGTAAAGCAAGAACTGGAGCTGAAGGAATGAGAATAAGAGGAGGATGAGGAAGAACAGGTGTATCAGATAAGATCAGAGTGGGACAACATTATTCTTCCATCATCATGCATATCTGCAACCTACATGTACCTACAACATCACCCTTCTCATTCCCGGACACACACTTCACTTCATCCTCATTCCAGACGAGCAGAGCAGGCCAGTTAGTTATTTGAACCAAGTTGTGATCTTGTTGACTCAAGAACAGCTGCAATTGGATCAGTCCGATTCACAAATGAATCGTTCAGTGTGATTTGCAAACCGATCCAACAGGTTCATTGGCTTATTCCTTCAGTATTCATGCTGCACATGCTCAATTAGCCCATCCTCATTCCTAAGTAGACACATGTGACCATTCCTTCCGCAAGAAATATTTTTCAAGGTATTTTTTTAATCAGAGTTTTTGTCATACTCTCTAATCTGTAGCATTGTAAAATCATATAATTTTATCAGTGTTTTCTTTGCTTCTCATAGGCATAGCTAGCATGTGCCAAACTAGCATAGCAAGTTTCGTCTTGGGTGTCAGTGTAGGGACATGTTGTTGTCTCAACACGCTGTCTCTCATCACACCATTGATATACAACTTCTCATAACATAACCAAATTCAAATTTTATGGATTAATAAAGAGCCCCTTTCAAGAGTCAGGTTTCTTCCCCTTTTTTATTTATGTAAATAGCTGATCTGATGTAGACTAATTTCCTTTTGTCTTAGCCTCTCTTTGTCTCACACACACATAAGCTACATCACACACACACACACACACACACACACACACACACTCACACTCACACACTGGTATTCCTATCATTATGGGGACATTCCATAGGCATACAAACTGTTTTTTTTTACCTTCTTCTTTCATTCTGATCATACAAATCATTCTGTTTGATTTATAAGCTTTTCCTCATGGGGACCAAAAAATGTCCCCACAAGGTCAAAATTGACTGGTATTTCTATCACTGGCTTCTGCCAACTGCTGTACATGCACATTTACAAAAGTGTCGAGTTACAATGTATGACGCATGATGTAGGCATAGCAGAAGCTAAAGTGAGAGTAATTGTTACTTGTTACTTGAAAATGTTTTTTTTTTCATTTAATAGTCTTTGTCTTTATACAGCCAATTTAACTGTTGCAACTATCCCGTTATAGGGTCAGTTGCAACATTTGACCATGTCTATTCAAGTATAAAGTGTACGTATATCATCACAAAGTCATGTTACAGCAGTGTGGGTGAGTAGCTGACAGATGTTGGTTTAATATAATCAAATTTTGGCTTTCCAATACAAATACTCTCAGTCTCTGAGAAACTGGAGGAAAAGCTAAAAGTGTTGCGACCGTCCTCACTTTCCCATAACCAAATCTGGAAAGATGTACTGAATGCATGTGCCAAAGCAATGATGAATGATCCACAGTTTATCCCACATATACACATAGTGAGGAGTTTTGAAAAAATGACCTACATAATGAGAAACGTCTCAGGTTATGTATGTAACCATGGTTCCATGAGAAGGGAACGAGACACTGCGTCCTCTAGGGGTTGCTATGGGGAAATGCATTTAACATTGCATTGACACCGGTCACGCTGAAGGCATTCCCCATAGCGACCCCTAGAGGACACAGTTCGAAATTCCCTTGAAAGGGAACTGGTTCTAGTTATTGTAAAAAAACAAACAAAAAAACTAACATTTATGTATCAGTATTCACATAATTTTCTTAAGTGTGTATTACTAACCATTAGAGATTTTATATCAACAAATCCATAAAGCCATATTTTATGGAGAAACAGCTATTACTTTTGTGCCTGTATATTATAAGATTATTATTCAATTTTTAAACATCTGCCTTTTCTACTGCAGAGTTGAGTAGTGAATTAGCTAAGAAACTAAATAATTGTTATATTTTGGTTTAGATATGCATATTGTTCTAACTATTAAGGCAATATCATAACATCCACCAAACAGTGCTTAAAAAAAACAATAAAATCCACATACACACAGATGTCATTTCGTATCTGTATTTATTTATTTTCATTTTTAATTTCAAGTTTCTTATAGTTGCAACTGAACAAGAGTATTTTGGTTTCAAGCAACATATAATGACTAATAAGGTACACAACTTTGTCACTCTTTATCAAAGAGGTACACAGAAGTGAAGTGTTAGCACTCCACAGTGATTGTGACCCAAGTACAGAGATTGTCTTCCTCAAGTATGTTTAAACATTTGTTCTCCGAGTAGTGCATAAACATTTCCATATAGCTAACATGAGAGCTCTCTCTACAGGTGTGCCTGAAAAGTTCATGCCCATTCTGCTGAAACCAGGAAATATAAAATTGCATATCAATTTTATAAAATGAATAACACCATGAAAACACCAGTAAAACTAGTGATTGGAGACCACTTCTCTGTCACATACACATTCAATAAAAAAATTTAAAAACAAGGTAAATGAGTAGAGATTGATGAGATAATACTGAGAAAATACTCAACAATGCGTGTGTTGATTCCTGAGCATCGCAGATGGAAATCAAGATTCAGCCTGAGACTCATGATCACAACAGCAATGCACCCGTCATGTTTGTTGTTTCTCCATAGAAGATTTCCACTGTAAAAACTGGTTAACTGTAAGTTACTGTATACGTAAGTGGAAAAATTATAAATGGCTTAATATCAAATTATATATAATTTTACTGAAAAACGTGTGTAACGTAACATATCCAAAATACCAGCCAAAAGATACAGGGAGACTCACAACATCATCCTGTGACAAATGGAGATATGGCCTTATCTCTAACTTATTTATGAAGACAGTACACCATAGCTTTGAATTTCTACATGAATATTAAGAAAATACAGAAAGAAAAGTAATATAAAAGTAGCTAAACATAGAGTAAATATATAAAGTAATATAAAGATATAAGATTATAATAAATGGTCTGGCGGGATAGTTCAGTTATCCAACGAGCCCAAAAGGGCCCACGTCACACCTCTCTTTATCTCTCTCCACTGGCTAACAGTTGCGGCTCGCATCAAGTTCAAGACATTGCTGCTTGCATACAGATCAGCCATGGGCTCTGCACCCTCCTACGTCCACTCGCTCTTACGAGCCCACATCCCCTCCTAAGGCCGGTAAGTGAGCAATGCCTTGTGGTACCATCACAGAGAGGCACAAAATCCCTTTCCAGAACATTTACATTCACTGTTCCTTGCTGGTGGAATGATCTTCTCAACCCCTAACCGGAATGCCGAATCCCTGACAATATTTCTGTCAGGACCACTATCGTCAAAGATGATTGACAATTAGCATACAGTTTGGATTGGCGGTATGGTTCTGTTCTGGGCAAGAACTCCCTGCACATCCATGCAGCCTAGCATGGATGACAGCAGGGAGAGCAGCGATAACCCCCCCAGGGTAAACAGAACAGAACCAACATAAATGTATTGTAGATATCGTTAAAGTTCAATAATGTTATGTACACATTTTAGAATTAGTCTGATTCAAAGGAGAATCAGAAGTCTGAATCCTGACTGAAAGAGGAGGAGCTGGGGATGGAGGAGGGTAATTAGCTATTGAGCAATGCAAAACTGCTGATAATACTGAGGGACCTTATGTATGAATGCTTAGATAGGTGTCGTATTCCCATAGGTAGATGGGGATCAGCTGAGAGTCAGCCGATGCGAGCTTGACTAACGTGACCTGCCAGAACTAACGCTACGCTTGATTTAAGTGACAGCTGAAAACTAATCTCTTCCATGAGCATCCTACTAAAAAAAATTCCTCAGTGCTTTCACTTTTCCTTAATCTTGTACTATTCTAAACTACTGTATGTCTGAAATTTTGTATTATGAGCACTTGTGTTTATTTGCCTTTTTATGATGAATTGCTTGTGTATTCCAGGTAAAAGTGTCTGCTAAATGAATAAATGTACATGCACATTACGGTGTTTTCTGTTTGTGTGATGCAATGTTCATCTATAAACAAGTTCTGGCATTGGTTTCTGGACAGGCCATTTATGATGAACTCTGAACCATCAGGTGGTTTTCTGTTTTAACACCTGTATTATAATGGTGGTTATCCATACAGTACATTGCTATATTATTCACATTACATACACAGGTTTTTCTTTTTTTTTGTACAGTCTTTAGAACCATTTTTCAACAATTAGGTCACTTTTTCTAAACTCTTCACACAGTGAGCGCTACAGCAGTCGATGTGACTTAAACTGTGCATTCTATATCATTGTTTGGCACAAAATGCAATCAGTGACTGACTACATCATTCAAACTGCATGAATTCCTTTCTTGCTCAGACATAAAAACTTGCAGGCTAACTTGCACATTGGCATACTCCTTCCACAACATAAGCTCAAAAGCTCACATAATACAAAACTGAACAAGTTATAAAAGAAAATGTTGTAGATAATGCTACCAGTCGTGAGTGTATTTAGGTCATTGTTTTATGCGGTGACAATCTTTGCTAGTGTTATGGAAGAATGATTTGATTTGACACATGAAGTATGAAGTGTTTTGATAGTTTTAGTGCATTCTGAATGTAAAAATAGCTGCTGTGCCAAGATGAAATTGTTGATTAGGAGAACTGTGTGGACATTTTTGAAAAAGTGACAAAAAAGAATCTTAGTGATTGTAATGAAACATACACGTTGTACTTTGATACCGCACATCACATGATGCCTAGGACTGGTTCACATTAAAACCTTTTCACAGCCTTTTGTATACTGAAATTATAATTTTGTAATTGTAAAATAGTCCTCTCAATACTGTATCAAAAGCACCAGAACTCATCATTGATGTCTACCTCCACCACAATAGGTCATCTATAGAGAGAGCTTTTACATTTTCAGTGCATGCTGGTATTTGCATGACTGCACAAAAGGTTTAGATGGGCTGCATAGATTAATGAGGGTCTGGACAACAACAAAGATATATCTAGATGATATACAGACATTCCTAGGAACCTGTGCAGATGACGTCGAGTATAGGAACTGGGAAGTGAGTGATGACAAAACAACTCTTTAGAAAGACGCTGTGGCAGAGTTCTGTAAAACAATGTTAAAAAATGTAATTAGAGGCTGTCACTTAATTACAATATGAAATACATTTTAATTATGACTGATGAATAAACTTACAACCAATGAAAATATAATGCCAATACACAGAACAGAAATGATCATTACAATCATATCTGGTCTTGGTTTTGTTCCTTCATTGGGGAGTTGTCTTTCTGGTCTCTCTGGAAGACAAAATAATTATAAAAGATGGAGGAAAAACACACACAAAATGTGTGCATCGTTTCATAATGTCTATGCAAGAAACAATAAATATTTTTGTCAATTATTAGGTTTTACGCACCTTCAGTCAAAAGCTTAACAGTATGGTCTTCTGATTCCTCCATGATGATGTAGCATGTGTATTCTCCTGCATCAGCGTGTTGAAGGTTGTTGAGTTTGATGGAGAAGTTTCCTCTCATATACTCCTCAGGAAAGCTTTCAGTTCTGTTCTTGTACTGTGGATTCTGTTCTTCCACAGAGACTTTACCCTTAATAATCTCATACACATTCAAGTTGTACTTGTTTCTCCAACGCACTTGATTTATGTCTTGAATTGTATGCGGAGGTTCTTTAGAAGAACAAGGTAAAACAGCAGAGCCTCCAATAAAACCAACAACAGTCTCCTGCAGAGACACTGAAAACAGAGAGAAAGTTATGAGCAAAAAAATGTTTAAAGTGTGACATTGCTTAACAAATAATTGTTCATTTTAGTGCTCACCTTCATTTGCTAATAGAAACACATGCAGCAGATTAAAAAAACACCACCTGAGTAAACAGAAACAAATGATTAATTTCTCTCAGACTGAGCTACATCATCAGAAACACGTACTGGAGTAAATGCATAATATCTCAGCCTCTGAAATGAACACTTTAGAGACAGTGTTCTACTAGGCCGTTATGAGATTAAAAATGATTGTCATCATATTTAAATTCTCTATTCTTAAAAAAAAAAATCCCTATCTTTCTCTACTGTGGCTCTAGTGTCACAGAAAGAACATAAATCCATGCAATACTAAATGACCTTCAGTGGCTAAATCATTGTCTTTAGAACTGCTTTATATATCTGTTTGATGTTTGTTTTCAAACGTATGTGCTGTTTTGAATTAAAATGCTTCAAATGAAACGAGGAATGAAATGCCTCAAATGTTTGGTTATGCAGTGTGTGAGAACTATGAGATCTGATGTTAGCTGAAGTTTCAGTAGGTCAACACATGCATACACAGACGATATTTAATATGGTGACACGATCCACAAATGTTGTGAATTTTTGTCATGCAATGTACAAGAACTTTGAGACTTGATGTTAATTGACATTTCAGGTTTGTGTCAGCATATTTGATTTAGTCTGTGTGTATGCATGCATTGACCAATGTTTTGGTTTGACTCAAGAGTGAAACTTTAATCTGTTCAATTTACATATAAAGTATATATATATATATATATATATATATATATATATATATATATATATATATATATATATATATATATATA